TTTATATGTCAAAATATCTAATTATAATTAATCATTTAAATTTAATTAATTAATATTTATAATTCAAATTAATATATAAATATTTTTTTTACAGCAAGTTAATATACTTGACATGCGACAAATTAAATAAGATAAATAAACTTGACTGAAAAATTAAAATTATCATGTCAATTTTGAGATGGGTTGACATTTTATTATCTTATTATATTTTTTTTATAAATTTATTTATATTTCTTTTTATAAATTTGTATTATTACTAATGGTTTGGTTTTGTATATTACTGATAAAAAAATTAAATAATGAATTTATATTATATATTACTGATGAAAATTTTAAATAATGAGTTTATATTATCATAGTGTTTTATTTATTATTTTTTAAATCTTAAATTTTTGTCTAATAACCATATTTTCTTTTATTTTTTTAGTTTTCAAAATATAAAAGTAAAACTTAATATATATATATATATATATATATATATATATATATTATGTATTAGTTATTTTTCATCATTTTTAGTTATTTTTTTAATTACAAATATAAAGTAATTATTTTAACTTATTTTAAAAATATATTTTTTACATTCATTATTAATAATTTTTTTAAAAAAATTGATAAAAAAATAAAATTAAATCAAATTATTTTTATATTTTTTGATTAAACCTAATTTAGAAAGAATAAATGGATATAAGTGTTAAAATAGGTTTAACCCAATAATGGGTCAGCCAAAAAATAGATCATGCTAAACAAAAAAATTTGTAGTCTAAATTAAATTAAATTTATTTGTCCCATTATTTAGGTTATGATCTACGGCTAGCTCATAAGTTTATTAACGGATCATTTTATAGAGTAACAATTGTCACTTAAATAAAAATCAAAATAAATTATTTTACTACTATATATATATATATATATATATATTTATAAATTTGATAAAAAAAATTATTTATTATGAGAGTAAATTTTAAAAAATCACTTATAAATATAATGACTAAGATTAGTTATTATTTTAAATAAATACATTTTTAAAATATAATGAATAAGATTAATTATTATTTTAAATAAATAAATTACTAAAAAGAGAGGATTATGTACACTTTTAATTTTAATTTTTATATGGATTCATCTCTTATCACTTATATATTAAATTATTATATATTAAATAAAGATTATTTTTATTAATAAAATTTAAATTTAATTATTTTTTTAAATATATTTTATTAATTATTTTGTTATAAATATAAATAATAATTTACTTTAAAATTTTTAATCACGTCAAATTTCATTTAATCTTAAACTAGATTAAAAAATATAATTCGTTTTAAAATTTAAATATGAATAATTAAATTTTTTATTTAATTCGTAAAACGAAATCAAATTAAGCCGAATAGTATATTTTAACAATTTTATAAATAATATGTTACATGTATTATGGTATTATTGATTTTATTTTATTGGATGAGAGGTTGAAAAATAAAATAATTAAAAATTTGTCAACATTAAATTTTTGAATTAAATTTTTTTAAATAAGTTCGATTTTTATTTTGACCATGAAAAGTGAATCTTAAAAACTAAAATTATTAAATATATTATTAAAATTAAAATATAAAATAACAATTTTATAAATAAATAAATTATTTTCTTATAATTTATGATATATATATATATATATATATAATTTTTAAACTAAATACGAAAATACATTAAAATTATAAATATTATAATTAATTATATAAATTTTTATAATATATTTTTATTGACTAATTATTATAGTATAATAAATTTAATAATTTAATAATAAAAAATTACAAAAAAAGTTTAAATTAAATTATAAAATATTTATTTTATTTAATTTAAATGTGTTTAAAAATAAAAAAATTATATTACAAAATTATGTTTGATTTAAATAAATTTGAAGTAGAAAACCGATCTAAATTACAATGTGAACATCCTGCCTACCTACCTACCTATAATTGAGTGGAGATTTTTGTATTATTCATAGTACCAAGTGCCCTACGGATTTCACTGTGCCTTTATCAACCAATGCTCTCACTTTAACATTAAATCTTATTATTTTCATTTTTTTTATTTTTTCAATTACAAACGTCTTAGTCTGTTTTTACTTTATTTATTGCTTTTCATTTTATTAATTCTGATGTAAACGATTGAAAACAGGAAATGGGATAAAATAAAAATAAGATGATTTTTTTTTTATAGTGTAAAATAGGAATAAAAAACATTTTATGAAATCAAATAATTCTTTGAGAATCGCGCGTTTTCTTTCACTTGTTTATTTAATTTTTCTTCTAGAGACTGAATAAGCATATGCTTATCTGCATTTTAAGAAGGGAACCATTATCTGGTGTGGAAATAATTTCTTCCATAACTTTAAAAGGTGCAGTTCAGTGTTCACAGACATGATAGATTATTGTACAACCTTTTTCCTTTTTTTTTTCTTTTTACATTTATATTTCTGGTTCATCTGTATCTACCAAAAATTTGGTTAAATAAGCTGTTAAGTCTTTTTCGCTAAAAAAAATAATTGACAGACTAATGGTTAGTTCGTTATTATTTTTATATATAAATTTGTTTATATATATATATAAAATAAAATAAACACTATTTAGATAAAAAAAAAAAAAACACTGTACTCAATGCTCTCTCCTATTCGGATACTTTCGTTTTTGTCCCCTCTCACTTTCACTGTTATTGACATATTTATAGATGCACTTTCTCATATATATTTTTTATTAAATAAAACTATTAATTTTTTAAAGTAATATTGAGAGGAGAAAATAAAATTATAAAGGCCAAATAAACAATTTAATCAAAACTTAACTAATGAAATGTTATAAAGTAATATCTGTCGCACTTGTTGTCATAGTAACATTTCTTAGAGTTTTTATAGTTTTCATGTGCACGATGTAAAAAATAATATAATAGAAGATGTGTGTGACATGCCACTAATTATATATATAATGACTATATAATTAAGAAAAAATTATTCCAAGTGTTAGAAAATAGTTACAAATAATCATAAAATCATGCATTTACTTTCTTAATGATTAAAAAAATAAACACAAGAATCATGCATGCATATATTTTAAGGAATGAAATCAAGAAGATGCTACTTCATCCTTCCTTTTTTTTTTCATTGATTATTAATGATTGAATAGTAAAGTTAGCATCTTGGACTCTGGTATGCTCATCCACTATAAATGGTATCATATTCTGTTTAGACAAGATGTGAGTCATATATTTTTTATTTTTCACTTCAAAATTTTCCAACAACACTACCTTTTTATACCATACCAACAAAAACATTAACCCTAACTATGGTGAGAAACTTCACTTTTGTTTAATTTGTTGTTCTTTTTCTCAAGTTATTCTTGAACAAACTCCATTTTCTCAAGTAAAGGTGTCACTATCATTAGCTTTAGCTTAGTGATTGTGACAATGGACATCCTTAGATTTTAGTAATAAAAAAATAAAAAAGTTAAAGCTTTCATCTAAGGCACCAAAATCTAGTGGTTGAAAGTGAATTTGCCATGTGAGAAACATGAGGTCATTTAGCACCCATGGCAGAACATTATTAATGTTTGAAGTAACATTTCACACTCTAGTATTTGACATGAAACATCTGATTTTATATCAGAAATAATATTTGTGACCAAACGTTAAACAGAAAAAGGTGAAAACAGCTTTTTCCAATAAAAAGAAAAAGAAAAAGAAGAAAAAGAAAAAGAAAGGAAAACGTGGAAGCCAGAATCGAAACGTACACCTTAAAAAATGTCCTATAAATAAAAGGCACGAGAACCTCCATTATCTTCCAAACCAAGCTCTGAAAAGAAAAGATTAAGAGAGAGAAGGTGGATAGGGTGTTACAGAGTTAGTTTCTATCCATCTTCCTTCGTCGCTTTGGTTCTTCTTCACTCTCAGCCATTCGCATCATTAATCAGGCAACGCCCTCATTTCACTCTCACCATTTCCTCTTTTTACCCTAACTTCTCCTTCTTTTTCATTTCACTTTATGTTCTCGTCGTTTCCTTTCTTTATATTCCCTATTTTTCCATTTCTAAACCCTAGCGTTTTACGTCGTTCTGTTATTTTGTACTGTGTACGATAGCAATAACACGTTCCACCTCCCGTACTGATATGTCATATTCACTCCGCATTTTATTTTTTGTTTGTCGCTCTGTTCTTAAACGCGCGTTTGGAACTTCTTGCGGGATTGGATGTTCTTTGTTGCTCTATTTGTTTATATATTGTTTCATTTTATTTGATTGTTTGATTTGTCGATTGTTTGATTTGGAATTGTTGAAGATAAAACCTGGAAACCGAAGGAGAGGCATGTTTTTACGAGACATGATTTGTGTCCCTTTAACGTGCGTATGATTAGAGACTGCCGGGCTTAAATACGGAATTAAATAAGTTATTTAGGCACGTTATTTTGTCAGAGAGAGATTTCATTGTCTTTCTAGCCTGAATCATTGATTGTTTGGTACTGTAAATACTATATAATATTGCTGTTTTTACAAAACTAATATCAAGCTTTTTTTTTTTTTTTCATTTCTTTCTGCTTATACTTAATTAACCTATTATCTATATCTATACCTGTTATTTAAATCTAATATTTAAATTATGCTCAGAGTGGAATTGTAGTTGTAATTGTAATTGTCATTTTGGTTTATCTTTTTTCGGTGGCGTATTTTTTAGTCAATCTTTCCCTTTATTTGTCGGTGAATAAAAGTTAAAGCCTAATGTGTAAAACCGAACAAAATATGAAAGGAAATTCTTTCCATTTTTGTTTCGGTGGTCATTCTTATAAATTGAGGTTCTTTTTGTATGGAATTGGCATTGTGTTATCCCTAGTCTCGTTTTTGTAAGTGCTGTAATTTTTGTTCTATGTAATATGAGCATAAAGATAGTTGGATGAATTTTTGTGACAACTTGTGTGCTTATTATACAGAGACTGGAGCCAGAGAAGAAAAGAATAGTTTATGGAGGACGGCGCAGGAAGAGGTTTGGAATGCCCGAAGACTACGGTTGGGAAGGCGAGTAATGGGAATGGGATAGAGAAAAAAATCCCTTCTTGTTGTTTGAAGGCTAAAGCTTCGGCCCCTGAGTCAGAGGCAAAGTGCCATTCCACTGTTGTTTCTGGGTGGTTTTCAGCTTCTCAAACTTGCTCAGGTTATTATCAACTCTGATTCCTCTTATAAAAATGGCACATGATTTCTGGAATATGAGGATCATTGTTGTTTATTAATTCTTCTACTTTATCTTTTGTTTTCACAGGGAAATCCGAAAAAGCTGCTTATTTCAACAACCCAATGTGGCCAGGTGGGTGTTACTAATCTGCAATTCTCCACAGTTGGTGCACGTTTGCTTTATTGCATTGAAAGTTTTTCATCTTTTATGATGTTTGATAGCCTTAATTGCGAACCTTGCTTTTTAAAATCAACCATGTTCTTGTTTTGATAGTTTCCAGAATTATTGTAAACTTTTTATATCATTGAATCTTCATAGAGATAGTTGAATTTCAAAGATAATCTTGATTGACATTGGAAATTACTTTTGGCTAAAGGAACTAACCTAAGTGTTTGATCTATTGTATTGAACAATCGCTACAGTTATCCTTATTTTTGTGAACTTCATATCATGATAATGAATGTCCACATTTTACTGTTCTGTATAAAATCCCTCACTTTGATTGTTTAGTATTATGTGTGTATTGCGTATGAAATTATTGTGCTGATGGCTTTAGTTTGTATAATTAGGAGAAGCCCATTCAATTAAAGTTGAAAAGATCTTATACAGGGAAAAGTCAGAGTACCAAGAGGTCTTGGTTTTTGAGGTTTGGCCTCTTCATCTTTTAATGTACTCTAAATTTTACATTGAAGGCAGCAACACTAATCCATTTGTTTTTGCAGTCATTAGTTTATGGGAAAGTACTTGTACTAGATGGAATTGTTCAATTAACTGAGAAGGATGAATGTGCTTACCAGGAGATGATTGCTCATCTTCCCCTCTGTTCAATTCAGTCCCCCAAAACGGTAAAGTCATTTGTTCTGATTATTTTGGCTCTAATCTTTTATTATGACCATTTACCAATAACATTATAATATTGATAGCCTTGCTGTGATATTTGTTCCCTTTTTATGCTCACATTTGTCTGGATAAAGAGTTGACATAAATCCCAAAAAATGTTTGATTGAATTTAAATATACTACTTTTGCATGCTTGCCTTAGTCTCTCTGTTTTCATAATCTGTGTAAGGACTTCTATGTTCATTCAGGTTTTAGTTGTTGGTGGTGGAGATGGTGGAGTACTTAGGGAAGTATCCCGCCACAGCTCTGTAGAACATATTGATATCTGTGAGATAGATCAGATGGTTATTGACGTAAGTAAAGCAATATTTTGATTATTAGTATAGCTGCTTCGTGGGATAAAAAATCATATGGTTATTATGCAGGTTTCTAGGAAGTTTTTTCCAGATTTAGCTGTTGGGTTTGAAGATTCTCGTGTACATCTGCACGTTGGTGATGGTATATACTTGTGCTGATCTTGTTTTAAATGTCTTTTTCTGTTCCGAGGCTTTATGTTTACTGATTACATTCTGAAGGGTTAGTCACCGGATTTTTTTTATTTTTTTTTATGAAAATTTTCACAGCTGTTGAATTTCTTAAATGTGCTCCTGAAGGGAAGTATGATGCCATAATTGTTGATTCCTCAGATCCTGTGGGTACGTCATTTCAATTTTAAATGATTCATCTAACTTATTTCTCTAGAACCATGTATTTTTGCTTAACTAGATGAGGTTGACCTGAACTCTTGTAATTCCATTTGATACTCGATTAGGTGATTTCATACTAAGTCAATTCTTGACAATTTTGAAAGTTAGCTTTAATTTATGCGGAATTTTTACGAATAAGATTTTACTTTCGTTTGTTAGCTTAGCTGGTATAATAAAATAGTGATCAATCATCTGTGTCTACCTCCTTACACTTAACTGTTAAAATTATTTTGAAAATTTTCATTTTCTTATATAGATTCATCAAAATCTTTCTCGCTATATTATTTATCTTATTATCTTGAATTATGCATCGTCCCATCAACCACGCACTAATCATACAGAAATATCTAAGAAATATAATTTCCTCAGTTTTTGGTCATTATTATTAACTATTTACTGAATCACTTTTGTAATTTAGGTCCTGCGCAGGAACTTGTTGAGAAGCCTTTTTTTGATACAATAGCGAAGGCATTAAGGCCTGGCGGAGTCCTTTGTAATATGGCAGAGAGTATGTGGCTTCATACACACCTTATTCAAGATATGATCTCTATTTGTAAAGAAACATTTAAAGGTTCTGTACATTACGCATGGGCAAGTGTACCAACATATCCAAGGTAGTGGACTTTTCCATATGCTGTTAAATTTATACATTCCTGTTCTGCATTGAGGCATGTTTCTTTCTAAATTTCTTTGTTTTTATTTATTGTTTGCCTTGCACCTGTTGTGAGAGTGGACTCTTCTACTCTGCTCCGATAATTATTATTTTTTGAAAAATTCATTTTATGTTGTCTAACCTTTTCCTTGGCACGCAGTGGTGTGATAGGCTTTCTTCTCTGTGCCACGAAAGGACCATCGGTTGATTTTGTAAACCCTATCAATCCCATTGAAAACTTGGAAGGTGCTAATGAACACAAAAGAGAACTTCGATTCTACAATTCAGAGGTAAATTTATAGTATATGGGTACTTGACGCAATTGCCTATATAACCTTCATTGGTATGAGTGATTTTTTTAGTAAATTTTATCCATGTTGGGAAGTAATAGCATGTGACTATTGTGTGATTTGTGATTTTTCATAAAAAAATTTGCTCTGGTTATGTTACGGACGATGTCTAAAGGGAATACATATGGAGATTACTTGAGCTTTTGAAATCAGCTTACGACCCCTTTTGTTTTTTATGCTAATTTTATTAAGTTTCTGCTTGGAAATTATTCCTTCTTCGAGGGAAGACACCTCCACTAAACCAATAAGTTTTCACAAAGTGCTTCTCATTTCTTATTCTAATATCCTCTCTATATAAAAGAGATATTCTCCATTACGTATGCTCAACATCTCTAACCGACGAGAGAGAAAAATACATCGAATCAATGAAAAGCAAATAATAGAAAGAAAATAGGAAATATATATGTATATCACCAAGCACATTGAATTTACTACTTAAAATCTATCTTGAAGTCCTTGAATTTCCCTCAGTTCCTTTTGTTTGTATTGACATTTTTTAATAACTCTTCTTCTTCCAAATTGGGCTCTTCTCCATTATTAGTTTCCTTTGCATTATTAACCCTATCTCTCTCCCAATCTATAACATCTTCTTCCCTCCTCACAAACACCTTGTCCTCAAGGTGTAGAGTGGGATACGTCTCTTGCAGCTCCTTGAGATCCTCCCATGATGCATCTTCTGGGAACATACCCTCCCATTGCACTAACACACATTGGGGTGATAAGTTATCAACTGCAAGGATTGAGAGGGGTTGAAGAATGGGTTGAGTGACGTTGGTGCTAGAGGGAAGGTCCAGGGGAACAGTATTAGTAGAGTCTGTAAAAGGTTTCAGCAGGGAGGCATGAAAAACCAGATGTAGTTTTGCCTGGGAAGGTAACACCAGTCGATAAGCCACCTCGCCGATGCACAGGACCATAGTAGCATTTAACAAGCTTTTGAACTCTGTGACCAGCAAGAGACAACTGGCTATAAGGACGGAGCTTCACCATTACTTTGTCTCCGACCTTAAACGGCGTGTAAGCCTGTGTTTATTAGCTGCATGCTTCATCACTAGCTTATCATAGTCGGTCAATACAGGTTATAATCTCTTGAGCCATTGGACCCTTAATACCACATTTGCCCCAGAAATGGGTAACACAAATAGATCCTCTTGAAACGTATGTGGCCCAACATGAATGTCTACCTCTTTACATAGTTTGGTACATTGGAGTTCCTCACCGTTACCCACTTGGACCACAAAACCTTGGGCTAAGGTTGTTTGTAGGCCCAAAAATCTCACTAGTCTCTCCTGCAAAAAATTGTGGGTACTCCCACTGTCAATCAATATAGATACCGTAGATTTACTTATCCAACCCGATACTCATAGTGTTTGTGGCATCGAATGGCCCATTAAGGCATGGAGGCTAATTTGTGCTGGTGGTGAGTCGGGTGGCGCATTAGGTTCGGGTCCGGTTGTACTCAATTCTAAAAGAAGGTTCGAAAACTCTTCTTCCACAGTAGCTGTGAATGAACGTTTGCAGCGATGGCCTTTAAAGTACTTATCATCACAGTAATAACACAACCCTTGCTCCCATCGCGATTGAAGTTCTTCCACTATCATGGTTTTAATTGTAGGTGATCGGTTGGACTGTACCGATCTAGCAGAGTTCACTACCGAATTAGAGCCAGAATGTTGTTGAAATGTGGTTTTGGCTGGTTGATTGACATATGAGGCGGTAGTGTAAGATCGGAAAGGCTTGGTGTTCGTCGAAGCTGACACATTATTGGGTTTCACACGACCATCATCGAATCTTGATTCATACACTTTAGCAAGCGCCATGGCTTCCGTGAGAGTCGTCAGTTGTCATGCTTTCACCTCGCATTGGAACTCTGTTTGTAAACCTGAGACAAAATAGCTCAAATAGAAATTTGTCGGCAAACCCACAATACGATTGGCCAAGGTTTCAAACTGTTGTTGATACTCTCTGACGGTGGAAGTTTGGGCTAGTTTGAACAGAGCACCTGCTGGATCTTCAAATTGAGAAGGGGCAAAGCGTGATTGTATAGCCAGTATCAACGCCGACCAAGTAGTAACTTGGTTGTTCTCATAAAGCCACTGGAACCAACTTAAAGCCTCTCCATCCATGTAAAAACCAACTATATGAACTCTTTGATTTTTCGAAGTTTCATGATATTTGAAAAACTGTGAACCCTTGAAGATCCACCCCAAGGGGTCTGAACCATCGAACCAAGGAACATCCAATTTCATGTTGTGAATGGAGCTTGAATTGTTGGGAATGGCGGAATTTTCTGTAATTCCCAATTTGGTTTCTAGGACTGTGAGTTTGGTAGAAATGACTTCGTAGTCGCGTTGAAGAGCCAAATGACTATCCAACATGCGAGAAAGCCTAGCTTCTAGGGTATCAGAAGAAGTTTTGGACATGCTTGAAGGAGCACTCTCAATGAAAGCACCAAAATGCTTGGAAATTATTCCTTCTTCGAGAGAAGGCACCTCCACTAAACCAATCGGTTTTCTTAAAGTGGTTCTCATTTCTTATTCCAATATCATCTTTATATAAAAGAGATATTCTCCTTTACATATGCTCAACATCTCTAACCGACAAGAAAGAGAAAAATACAACGAATCAATGAAAAGCAAATAATAGAAAGAAAATAGGAAATATATATGTATATCACCAAGAACATTGAATTTACTACTTAAAATCCATCTTGAAGTCCTTGAATTTCCCTGTTACATGTCTGTTCCTTTTGAGCTTTGTATTGGCGTTTTTTAATAACTCTTCTTCTTCCAAACTGGCTCTTCTCCATCATTAGTTTTCTTTGCATTATTAATCCTATCTCTCTCCCAATCTGGAACAGTTTCTTAGTGCGATCAGTCAAAATACCTCCACATAATGTGATGATAGTATTTATGAGAGGTCGTTGAACATTTTATTATCTAAGTTTTTAACTTGAACACACTCTAAATGGTAATTGCTGTCTTTTGCAGATGCATTCAGCTGCTTTTGCGTTGCCGGCGTTTCTGAAGAGAGAAGTGAGTCTGCTCCGTGATGGCTCCCTTGAGTAGCAATGCGTGATTGGTTTTTGAAGCCCTCAATAAGTAATATGGATTTCGTTGTCAATTTACAAGTGTGGTAAAAAATAGGAATGTGGTGTGACTATGTTTAGGTTAACCAATTATGCGTGTGGTTCAGCTTAGTCCTTTCGGATGGTTGCCTCTTTATCTAGTTTACAATCTGTAGTATTAGGGTTTTTCCCTGCACATGCTTGTAAGACCTCCATTATCATTTGTTAAATAAATACATAGAAATAATTTGCCATACATCATCCTTATTTTTTATTAGTTAGTAATTTGCCTCTTACTACGTGTTCCATATAATTGAAGCTCCTGTATAAAAGTAATAAAAAATTTATACCTTTTTCGTCTAGAAAATACTATTATCTTTGGTTTCATGTTACAATTAAAATATATTGTTTCAGGTGTCCTAATAAAACAAAAGTTTCAGAAATTTCCTAACTTGCATTTCCTAACTTACAATTAAATATTTGACATATATTCTTTCTCTTTCATTCACCAAATTTGAGGATCACCCCCGTAGTAACTTCTATTCTTATATGATCATTTTGAATATTTATTTTGGGGAGGGCGTCTCCTTCCTCTCATTCTCTTAAATTATTTATTATATTTTTTTTTCTCCATTCATTTATTGAATATTTCTATATACAACTCGAAATAATATTTTTTAAGATTTTACAATTTTGTTATTATTTTCAAATTCAATTTTACATTAAATATTTTCATTTCAAGTTATTAAGAATTATTATGATGAGTCTGTTATTATTTTTAACTAAATCCTATTTGTTTCAAGTTCTACAAAAATATATTATTTTACAAATATAACATCCTATAATTTTTAAAATATTAGAATTATAATATCACCTTTAGTTTTTAAATTAAACATTATTTTATAATAATTTGATTTAATTAAAATATTAAAACAATATAATAAAGTAATTTTACTTTTATTATAAAATATTTACTTTAATCATTTATAGAGATTGAAAATACTATTTTATATTTAAATAAGTAAACTTATGGTAGCTGAAAGTAGGATCACAAAATAAAATATATTCAAACCTTTTGGATACCCACAAAAATATATGTAATGAGTAGGATAAATTTCCTTATTTGGGGATGAGTCCAAAATAGGTATTTAACAGCAAGTTTTTAATAATGTAATATATTTAATTTAATAATAAATTATGTTTGAAAATATATTTACAATATTGTTTAAATATGATTTAAATTTGAGTGAATTATGTTCTGTTTAAATACTTTCATATTGTAATGTTATGTATGAGTGATATATAAATTTTTTTAAAAAGTTACCCAAAATTAAATTGGGTATACATATCCATAATTTTTTTAAAATTTATCAAAAAAATATTTTTTATGATATAAACAAATCAAAAGTCAAAATTAAATGTAATAAAAAAAATAAAAATAAAAATCTTTTGAATTTTAAGTTATAAATCTCTAAATAATGTCCATAAACTAAAGTAAAAATTCATAATTTAAAAATATAGTAATATATATATATATATATATATATTAATTTATATAAATAATTATATTATATAATAAATTTAAGAAGTAAGGAGTTTGACACAACTTGTTAACATGTATGTAAAGTCAGACACTACTCAATTTTGATCATTGACGAAAATATTAACCTACAGAATTATCCTATTGAAAGTAGAGATTTTGTTATTCTCCCATATTTTTCCCTTTTTTTTACTTAATTACTTTGATCTATTCTTACATTTATTATTTATTTTTTTAAAATTCAACATGCAATGAAATATTCATCACTATTTAAAATAATAGTAACCTCTTCAACTGCAAATAATACAGTAGTAGACAAGACATTATTAAAATAGTTTTTTTTACGGATGATTTTTCCTTTTTATGTTTGAAATTGTAGGCACCTCTCATCACCAGAAACAGAATAAAAAAAAAAAAGGAATCAGATGAGAAAAAATTTCAGATTTTTATTTCATTCACGAATGAAGAGACTTCAGCAATAATCATATATTTATATGTGTATATATATATATACAACTTTATAGTTAATATTTTATAGACATATTATATGCTACCCTAACTCACAAAATTAAAAAAAAAAAAAAAAACGAAATGCCATTTTGGCCCTCTAACAAAAAGGTCATTTAATGTTAATTTTTTCCATCACTTTCATCCTTTTTTATCTTACAGAACCAGGCATCCACAACCATTAATTTGTCCACAACTATTGTTCTTCAGAGGTAAAATCAGGTTCAGCAGGCTTCTGCAGCAGCATGGGTGATATTCTCTCTGGCACTCTGGTTTTTCTTGTGCCATTTCTACGTAAGAGTCTGAGTGCATTAGCTGCAAATCTTGAAGCATATATGGTGGCACCTAGGCTTGGTGAACTACCACCTGCTTTGGCCAATGCATCTTGCAACCTATTCTCTTCTTCCCTGAGAGACTCTTCCAACTTCTTTTTACTATAGCGCCTCCATGCTGCTTGTATGAAACATGCAGCCCATGTACGCCATTGTTGCGAATAAAACCTGAAAGTGTGACGAAGTTGCTTACTATGAAGGCGCCGGAACTGTGATGCAACAAACTTTAAGTCATCGGCTTTTAGAGCAAATGCTTCCACTTCTGAAAGAGTTTGGACAGTCCTTGTTGATATGGGAAGGTTGGCTGAGGAGTGAGGATCTAATGCCCATGTGAGAAGTTCCTCTCCACAGAAGTCACCAGCCTTGAGGTACTCAGAGTTAAAGAAGCCTGTTCTTCCACCATTAGTGGTCTCAGTCAATAGCTTACCGCGCATTATGAAGAGCATCTCATCAACAGGGTCTCCTTCCCGGGCAATGCAGCTTTCTTCTGTGTATAGCACTGGCTTCAGTCTGTCACACATTGCATCCAGAAGTTGCTCATCCATTTTCTCAAACATTGGCACCTTAAGTTCATGCAAGAGCAAGATTTAATTATTGCTGTCATGTTACATGGAAAATCGACTAGAGCTTCAAAACATCCAATAACAAATGATATATTGATTTGGTTTACTTTTTGACGGATTGTCTTAAAATCCATCAGACTGCCCCTCTTAATGGACCTAAATATTTTGAATTATTACCAATGGATTATGGATCCTTCTCCAGTACACGTAACTAGTTTTAAGACAAAATTATCACAAATATGTTCGTCGTTTTTCAGTGGCATTTATTAATCATAGAAAACTGCAGTGCTTCATAATTACAAATGAAAACATGCACAACACTCCTTTATAGAGTTTAAACGTACATACAACACATTCAAACAAAATGCCAGGAAAAGAGACAAGGATGTTATTCATCTAATCTATCTGGAAATAAAGTTTAGGAACTTGTGAATTTTATTAAGCCAGTATTTCTGCTATATTTTTTTGTAAGAATATCATATCTTCCTCTCTGGATATTCTATTACGTACCCACCAACCAAATAGAACAATAGATATACTAAAATAGGCCAAGTAAATTTTCATTTTCAATTAAAAATAAAAAAAGATCATAGTCACTGTAAAAGAACAATAGTAACGTGATTATGGAAAGAAAACCAAGATGTGGAGAAACTTACCCTCATCAGCAAAGCCAAGCAAAGATGCCGCTTAATATCTCTTCTCAAATCCTTTGGAAGATCTCGGATCAAATTGTCTTCATCAACACCTCTTGTTTCTTGCCATTTGTACTGCTCATGACGTCTGATTCTGTCTCTCAGGCTGTCAGGAAGTAATCGATGAGACATCCACTGTTCAGCATCTCTCCTTTTCACTCTCATTTCCTCCAATCTGGTAGTCGTTGACTGCAAATATGTCTGTTCCAAAAAATATAGAATAGTGTCAAATGTAAAAGAAAATTTGGCACAGGTGTGAAACTAGTTTCAGACGTGAAGAAAAAAAGAATGAGGAGCAGAATTTTAAGGTACATCTAAAATATGAAAGAAAACATAGATAATTCTGGAAAAGGGAGAGCATCACAAACAAATATTTTTTTACATGCCTACCTAGAGAGAGCTACAATAACTTCTAGACAAAAGCAATTAACAAACATTGGGAAACTGGAAATTATACATGAAATGTGTTTCCCACTGAAAAATAAGATTAAGACTCTGTTACATCGGGAAGAATATTTTCTCAACCATAGATATAGAACTGATAACGACCTCTACTTCACCAGGACAAACCATAAAATATACCTCCACAAGAGCTGATGTTCACTCCCCAATAGATACATCAAGTTAATTATGCACATTAATAGGTGCTCTAATTATAATAGCAAAATTTTATTTATGATGTACTGTTTCATGAGGAAGTCTCCAAGGAGAAAATCTTAATTAACTAACAATAAAATAATTTGAAACACCAAAAAACAGCTATCGTAAAAAAAAAATGGAGGGAGACATCACAGGAGCGGTACTGCTAACCATTTTATTCCAAAAATCAACAAATAGTGATGCTATCCAGCATTGCTTGATTAACAGACATTAAAAAGATATTTGACACCAACCTGCATATTTCCAATGAGGAATGCAAATAATACCAAACCAGCAATTGAAATGAAAATTGCAAAGCAGATTTCCCAAACATAGGTACTTGTTGCAAGGTTCTGACCAAGAGAACTGCAATAAATGGAGGAATATTTGCAGAATGTCAGATAACTTAGGTAAAAATATGCTCAACAACAAAATCAAAATTAAAAACGTATGAGCATGTAAATTCAAAATTGATAATTGACTAAAACTCTTACAATCCCTCATCTCACAATTCTGTCATTAAACAAGTTCAAAACTGAAGATAAAACCATTTTCCACTTCAACCACCAAATCAGAAGTCATCCAACATCTAAGTGATTAAGATTATACAATTTTGGTCATTGAAAATTAATGGTATTCTAATAACCAGAAGAATAGAAGCTGAAACAGATATGACTAGCATCAATACTTCAACTTTATCCACAAACACTATGTGCCCAAACACAAACCCTCAAAACACATGTTTTTCACGCACAAATAACCTGGGAAAAGATGCATTTATTGAGTATACACACACTGAAAGGAAGAATACTTTGATCCGAGGGATGTCAGCAAACAGAGATATAAGAAACAATTCTACACTATGAGCATGCAGACACATGGAGGCCAAACAAAGCTACAGGTTCCTAGTGTGACACTCATAGCTGATATCAACTTAACAAATTTGTCAAATAAATCATGAACACATTCCAATGTATGATTACTTCATAATTTTAAAATTAATAGCATCAAATAAAAGATAATCAATAAAGCACACCTTAAATTTCTTAGGCCCCACCAAAAACAATAAAAGAACTTCTGTGGAAAATCTCTTGACTCCACAACTCCAGATTGAAGGGCATCAAGAAATATTCCAAAATTAAAGAGTGTTGTATTTTGATCCTGTATTGGGCAAGAAGCATTCAGGAATACTGAAATTGTGCCCAAAACTTGACGATTATCACAATACATAGCTTCTGTGTTACATGTGCTGTTTCCTCGACAGGCATCTTGCCAGCATGTGGTTTCTCTTTCTATAGAAAACAAGTACCAAAAGGCACCAATAACCTAAGAGCAACAAGTAAATCAGAAATCACAGGAAGGCAGTTGATATAATTAGTTTTCATTATTAGCGAGATTATTTTCACAAAAATAGTGCAGCAATGATATCAAATCCAAATATGCCACATTGGGAACCAAAATAAAAGGGTCGGACCTTTGAGAATGAAACAACATATAGACCTAAAAACCATGAAGGTCACAGAAAAATTACGCAGTGTTGCCATAAGTACCAAACACACGTACGAGTATATCCAAAAAATATATTGAAATTATAGGGGTATGGGTACACAGGGAAGAATATGAAAATACAAACTAAACACTCTGATCTTGATATTGATTGATATTACATTGATGTCTTACAAAACATAAAACACTGATCCTTATTTATACCAATTACCATTACAGCTAACTAAGCTTAAGCTTTAAGCTTGCAACAACTAAACCTTTTTAAATATGAACAATATAATATCCAATCCACGTAAGATGGATGGAAAAGAGACAGCTAGACAGCAGTGGATGATGAGAACAACGATGGAGCTTGAGAAAAGAACTGGAAGGCCAAAATAATTATTATAATGTATAAATTAAATGTAATGGTTTTGACAATATCATCTCTTATTCGTAATTCTAAGGATTTAATAATATTATTCAAATATTTACTTCTTTTTAATTAATTTCCTTTTATGATTGATGAATTTCTCTATAATTTTTCATTTTTTGTGAAAAAGTTGTAATTAAGTTTTTTATATAAAAGGAAAGTTTGCACAAGAATTCACAGAAACAAAAAACTTGTGAATTTTTGAATAAATTAAAGGAAATAGTCATATTAGAATATTTGAAAATATAAATAGAAAATGTTATAAGTGCCAGCTAAACATAGAAAATTGTAATATATACATGCACAAGAACACATATACATAGATTAAAAAGTTTGGGGGTCCATGATCCCCTCGGTCACTATGAAGCTCCACCTCTGGAGATGGCAAAAGTACGACATGGCAACGGCTTACCAGAAAACCGGAGATGAAACACAACAATGGAAGCAATTAAGTGGAAGGGAAAGACCTTAGCTGTAGCCATAACATGATGTGTTAAATTTTATTACAAACCATAAAGCGCTAACGCCATACTTTACTAGATATTAGACTACAATCCTTAAAAAACATGGAAACACATGATTACAGAACATAAACTCGAACCATTAACAAGGTATTTAGCAGATCTACACATCTAAATGTGTTATATTCTAATTCATGTACAAACTCATGGTTTGTATCAGGTAGAAAAAGAAGGTTAAGTATCAAATCTGCACACAACTAAAACGCAGAATCAAGTTTTCACACTAAAACACAGAATCATCCCCCCCCCCCCCAACCTTAGCATAATATGCACGCATGGGGAATGGTGTTGATGGCCACCATAAGGGCAAGTATATGTGCTTATCAAACTTGTTTAGTATAGTGATTCCACAAAATAAATCCACGATACATTCATACAGAAACACTTAAGATCATATAGATTCAGACTTTAGAAAAAAAGACCAACGGTCTCAGAAACATAATACATAAAATAATTAATTAATTTAGTAGAAAGTAATATAACAAAAAACTAGTCAGTAATATATACAAGAAAAAAAAAAGCATAGACTTACATGACTGGCTAGCATGTAAAGAAAGAGATTGAATGCAGCTCCAGCCCAAGCTGTTTCGGTGAGAATGCCAGAGGTCCTAGTAACTTCTTTATATAATGGAATTAGTCGCAAAAATCGCGGGATATATTGGAAGAAGACAATAAATTTTAGCAAGGTCTTTGTATTCAGTGATTCAGAGCCTCTCAACTTTGGAATGATAATTAGAATTGCCACCTAGCAATATAGGAGCAAGTTTTGAGTACAAAAAGCATTGAATTAACTCAATGAAATAGTTTTATTTTTTTTTTCCAATTTAAACCCACAACACCACGAAAATATTAATATTGAAGCCATTAACTTAATCACTAATTACAATATATCTTCTGATTGAGTCCACATGTTTTGCATAATGCCATCACTTGGTATATTAATGGTTGCAAAACATGTCAACTACCTAGAGAGAGAGCAAGTGATTGCATTAAGTTCAAGGACAAATTTGTCAACCCATAGTTCTTCAACAGTAATTGGGATGTGATGTTAACAAGATGAAAGTAAAAGAGTCCAACAGTGGAAAATGTTTCCTTACCTGTGGGAGGGGAAGAACAGCAAGAATGTCTATTAAGAAGTATGATGATAGATACCGCATTGCTATTGCCCAAGCATCTTCAACCAAAACACCTCTTCCAAATACTCGAGAAGAGGGAGCAATGAATCCAGTACGAAATTGGAAAATTATATGGATTATATAAAAAATATCAGAGAAAGATCTTAAAACTGTTGCTGTAATTTCCATTTTTCTGTCTAGAGAAAGACATTTATTGTTATCATCAATCACAGGAACATAGAAGAACAAAGGATCAAGTGAAACGGCAATAAGACATGATAATACAAATATCTTATTCCACTTTTGAAGAAAAGGGCCCTGTGGATCAAGGATTTTCTTCCTAGAACTAAAACTTCTGGACAGAACTCTATTATAAGGAAGAGATTTGAATGATTTTCTAAATCTCTTCACCCCCTCTGAACTAGATTCCAAACCCCTTTGAAACTTCTCGGAAACTGAATATAGTGTATTCCTGATTCTGCCCGGGCGTTCTACATGAATTGCAGGAGAGCTGCTCTCAGAATCCTTCTCTGAATTCCAATCCCGAAATCTGAACATCATGTAATATAAAAACTAAGTTCATGACACTAACCATCTGATAAGCAAGATGTCCAAAGCAATGGTAATAACACCATGAAATAAACACAGGCACAACAATGAATATTGGGAACAAAACTTCTGAAAGAAGATTAGACTATGAAGTTTTTAAAGCATATTGATATTGAAGAGTGGTGACCGAAAAAGTGTTTCCAAAAGTTGAGAACAGCAAGAGAGAAGAAGTCTTACTACTCCCAACCAAGCATGAAACACTAGCAATTTTGCATCCAAGGAAAACTAAAATGGTTCTGAAATACCAACAACAGCACCACAGAGAATAGATAGCGGTATGCACCATTAAACTAACCTAACAAACTTATCTTGCTGAAAATTCATGACTGCAGCCTAGTTCAAAAACAAGGTAGAAGTCGACAAATAAGTGTCGCGCATAAGTCACAGGACAGTGAGTAGCTTCTTCATACACCTAGAAATCTCACAGCCTACTCCTGAAATAATAAAAACAAGAGATACATTCTGAGTTAGATACTCCAATAGTCAACCAAAATAAAGACCAACTCATCCATAGCAACATCAACAGAGTAAATTAGCCGATCAAACACCTTGCCATAAATTGATCCGACAAAAGCCACAATAATCAAAAGCGCAATAAATTCATACGTTTAGGGATAGAACAAACACTCTAGCCAGAAATACAGTTTCCCTCAAATTTAGCAGCACACACATACACACAAGTACACATCATGAAATGGATGATCACAGCGTAATCAATAGTTAAATAGCAGTTTATCATTAATCAAAACAAAATTCCAAGTACTCAACTAATAATAATAATAATTCCACAAAAGCAAAACAAATCGGCATCCTCTATCCTTATATAAATTAAATAAAGTAAGCGAAAATTCGCAGTCAAGTTGAAACAGAAGAAGGAGAAATAATTAGAGAGAGAGAGAGAGAAAGCGGAGTAGTAATTACAGAGCAAGAAGAAAGTCAGAGAGGATTGAAAAAACGCAGTAGAAAGTGGTTGAGAGAGAGAAGATGATGAAGAAGAGTATCAAAAGGATAGAAGTAGTTGCAGTGAACATGTGATTGATGTTGAGAAGGAAAGGAAAGAAGAGATTTGGAACTGTGAGAGAGAGAGGAAGAAGAAGAAGGTTCCTCGAAAGCCGGAAGGGAGTGATGATCGTGTTTGTAGACAACGATGGGCAAAGAGAGACAGTTGGTGTTGAGGATGGAAGGGAGAGAGTCTTGTCTGTCACGGGACCCACTCACTCTCTTGTGTTTTTTTTTTAACCTTAATTATTATTACTTACGTATAAATCCTGGCCATGGTCTCCGGTGGTTATGTCATGGTTGGTAATAGTGGTACATTTTGTGCCTGGTCAACACTTTCTCACCATGTACTCCACTGCACAGTGCCGATCTGAAGTTTGTATGTACAATAATCGATAATCGTTAAGTGGTAATGTAAAATTATTTGTGTATTTTCATTACATTTTTTGTTGAAATGTTGTTTACATTGTTTGAGATTTTTGAGAGCATTAATAATAAGGAGCTCTTCGTAAATAAGATAGGAATAATTCATATAAAAAAATAAAAGATATTAAATTACGAGTATTTTTTATTTATAAATTATTTATTTTTATTTTTATTCAACGTAAAATTTTAAACACATAATTAAATTTTTAATAATTTTTTTTTCAAATATGATTTCTTAAAAGATTTTAGGGACAATAACTTTTTACATATTCTACTCCTACTCAACTAAATCGATTAGTAAATGAATCTAGGTCTTTCAAAGAAAAAAAATATAAATATTATCAATAATATATATGAATCTAACTTTGACTTATTCTCTACATTCACTCGTATTCTATTATTTGTAATAACCTTATGAAAAAATCTGTCCAGAAAATTGTCAAATAAAAACAAAAAACTAATAATGGAACATCGTAAGTTTCAATCATACATTTATTGTCTTCTTTGAATGTTATATTATTTTGACGTTAAATTTGACATGCTGACGGTTATAAAAAAAATAGAGGATTATTATTACTATTATTGTCTGATATTATTCGTTTCGTTGACTCTTGATATTTATTTTGAAGGTTCTTCGTGTAAGATAAACCATTTTTTTTTTCTTATGATAATTCATGAGCTAATATCCAATGAATTTTCCAAAATAAAAAGTCTAAAATGTCTTTCAACTTGAATAGAACCACTTAAAAATTTTCCGTACCAAGTGAAATGGCAATTGAGTGCAAGTAGAGAGCATAAGAGTTGAATATTTATTCAATATAAAAAGTCAACATGTAACAACATTAAACAATAAAGAAAGTCTCCTAATGTACCGCAACTTGAGGTAAGTACTATAGACTTTCTGACCATCGTACAAGGTGCAGAAGCAAAATCCTAGACAAATATAATTATAACTAAATCTAATTAAAAATCATTTGTATAATATTCTTATTAGTACTATTCTATTTTATTTTGAAACTTATTTAAGACATTTATATATAAGCAGTTTTTGTAGTTTGCCTCCAGTACATTAATCTTTAACTGATAAGAAGTACACAAGATGATAGATTTGGAATTTCAGTTAATCACTACATTGACTTTTTATAGTTTATAAAAATAATTCTACTATCTAACCACAGTCTCGTCTTTTTCTTCCTCCCCAGTAGAATGTTGATACAAATTTGTTATAATAAATACTTTCTAACTCAATTAAACAAAGAGTATAAAAAGAAGTTTTATAAATCTAAATATATATATAAAAAAAACATAATTATGTTATCATATAATATGTGTGATTTTTTTCCTTCATTATATTTATCAAAATCATTCTTTTTATTAATATTTCTTAAATATATTATAGTAATAACATATAGTTAATATATTTAATTATTTAGTATTATATTAATAAAAAATAATAATCATCATTATATATATATATATATATAAATGAATGAATGAATATATAACTTTTTACTTTGTGAAGATTCTCATATGTTTAGGATGTTGTATGAGGTACAAGGTATTTAAGAGATATACTTAACCAAAATTTCAAAGGTATTAATTGCAAATATGAGTTATACGAACTATAATAAAGTTGGTATTCTAATCAAGATATATCCAAGTGTCATGTGTAAACATAAGCACTAACTATGATAAGATATATGTTATTTTGACATTATTAAATGCGTAATTATATTGTATTATAATTTTAGGTTTAGGCCTCAGAACATGTACTCAATTATTTGCAAAACCCATTGATCTCTGTGATGTTTTTCCTTGAAGTGGGTTGATGTTTCCATTTTGATGAAATTTATCTTATCTGCCTTTAATAATGATTTGGTAAGATTTATATGTGGTTGTTGTTTATTGTTATTTATTGATAACAGTGTACTATGAATTGATTTTTTTAATTTTTTTTTTCACGATTGATTGGTTGTTGAAGAGTTGGCTATAACATATGCTGAAGCTTCAAATAATGTAGCAAAAATGGGAGCTATTGAGTATAAAAGTAAAGGTGACCATCAGTACAATCATATTGATATACAGAAAATTCTTGCTGATAATCAACAATATATTGAGAAGAACACAGAAATGGAGAAAATAATAACAAAACTAGAAGAAGAGGTCCTGCAATTGAAAGAGTTGAAGGAGAAAGAAGTTACTGATGAAAAAGAGGATGACATACTTTTAAGACGATGAACATGATAACCAAACAATGTGAAGAATTTAAGATCGAGTTGATGTTATATTGCATAGAAATTGAAAAATTAAGTACTTTTTAATGGAAAAATTAGTATCTTAACATTTAAGATTTTTATATTCAAGATTCATATTTTATTAATATTGTTTCTTCTTTTAATAAATTTTTCCCTTAAAAATACTAAACAACACGTCTTAAAAATAATAAAAATAATATTTATTTATTTATTTATATAATATAATATTATTTTAGTTAATTTTTTAATAATTATTTTATTTTCTTTTAAGAAAATGCTAAAGGTTTTAATTATTTGTGATGTTAATTTTATTAAATATTTTTTATTGTTAATAAAAGTTTCAATGAAAAAAATAATTTTTTAATAAAATTAAACTATGTTAACTATTTCCTAATTAGCATAAATATTAGTTAATTTTACTTATTTGAGTCAACAAAAACATAACATAAATTAATATATTAAAAAATAACTACATACAGATAATTTTATTAAAAAAATAAATGATACAATTTAAAATGTAAAAAATAAAACAGTAAAAACAACATTTCTTTGTGTGTTTTTAATTATCATATTGAAATTTTTTAATGTAAAACAAAATTCTAAATCCAAGGGTGGATGCAACGTTTATTTGCGTGTAGATGATAGGTTGACATTTTCAACGGATTGGGAACGAGGGAGGGGAACGGAAAAAAAGGGCACGACACGAACCTAGTAACATAAAACATAAGATGACCAAAAAAAACCCCAACTTCGTCACTTCCTTAACCTCCACAAAATAAGAAAACTAGTCTCTTCATAATTTTTTTTTCTCCGCTTATTGCAAAAATGGGATTGATTACGTTGGTAAAGGAGTTGTGGAAGGCTTTCTTTTTCGTTTGTTCAGTGCAATTTTGCAGAATGGCGCTGTTGTGGTCTTTATCTATTCTTTTCTCTTATTACCAATTGTTCAAGGCCTCCCTATCCCAGTGGCTGGTGTTCAAACCTGTAATTCTCGAGAGATGTCCTTTCTTCTCTCAGAAACTGGTGTCCTATCCCAGGTGCTCCGCTTTCACAAGTAATTTTACGCCTGTTTGCGTTGTTACTGGTGTAAGTCGTTTATTTATGTATTCATTTCTTTTTATTCTCTGTTTTAGGTAGTAACATATATTGTTTGATTATTTGAACTTTTCAATTGATTCTGGGGTTTTTTTTTTTTTTTTTTTTTTTTTGTGTGTGTGTTGGTGTAGGCAACGTCTGGCCTGGGATTAGCTACTGCTTATGAACTTTCGAAGGAAGGATATGTTGTTGCCATTGGTAACTGTTTATTGTGTTATTCTTATTTGACTCTTGATTATAGTTTTTTTATTTTTTTATTTAATCGCTTTCTAATCATCCTAGAGTAACCATGCTCATCTCTCTAGTCTGAAGAAGAAGGCTAATAAGACACTCTTTTCAATTTTCTTTTTATTATGTGTGAAAGTGTAATGTTTATATCACACTCCCTATGGATGTGACAAGGGTGTAAAGAAGAGAGATTGATTCGAAAGAAAAAAGGAAGAGAAAGACAGCGAGAAATGTGATGACAATTAAAGAGGAAAATGGATAAGAGAAAGTATGAGAAAATCAAAACCCTTTATGAAATCCCGTACTAGCTTCACTAATGAAGAACAGGGTCAGGTTATTTACTGGAATCTGCAAAAGATTTCTCCCCATAATAAGGAAAAATGTTGAGAGAGTATGTTGTTTGCATTCTTATTCTGGTATATGCTATGTATACTTAAGATTCCGGTTGTGCATGCAGTTGGACGTTCACAGCAGTTGTTGTCAGAGGTATTTTTCTACAACACTTTTTATAAATCATGGTGAAGACGACTCCACACTTCATAAATCTCTTATCAGTGTTCCCTGGCTCCCTCTGTCTGATAGACCGTAAGAAAAATCAAAGATTGGAATGAAGATGCCCACCTCAAAGCTTTTCAGGTGGATCTGTCATCAATTGAGTCAATCGTAGAGTTTAAAATATCCTTGCGACAGTGGCTTTTGGATTCTCATTTGCACTACTCAATACAAATACTGATAAACAATGCTGGAATACTTGCAACATCACCTAGAGTGACAGCTGAGGGCTATGATCAGTAATACATACTTTTTATATAACTCCTTTAATAGTATTGAAAAAGTTTCACTTTATCATTGAATAACCCTGTGCTTATGAATGCACTTTGTAACACAAAAAAAGGATGCATAGGCCACATGCTTTCAAATTTATTACTTTCAGACTGTTGATAATCTGTTTAAGCTAAGGTAAATGATTCGTTACATTTTTGGAGACACTGCTGATTAGCATGACCAATGTGATTTTTATGGAACACAAACAACAGAAAGACACATGCAATGTTTGTAATTGTATGTAAATATTTTTTATTCTTCTTAGTTCCATGAAGGTGAACCTTGGTGCAACCATAAGGTTTTTGCCTCATGGGTTTAAATCTTGGAGACTTTCTCTCTGCTTGCAGGGTAACACCACATATATTTACCCTTCGAATACTATACTAGGTGGTGGTGCTACCCCATTTCTTTTATACTTGTTTGTTAGCTCCGTGTTTGTTTGGTACCTTAGATTATAATTAGTATTAACATTTAATGTATAAATGATTTACCTTTTTACTCCCAGGATGATTGGTACAAATTTTATTGGTGCATTTGCTTTAACAAAGCTTCTACTACCGCTTCTTGAAAGCAGTCCTGTATCTTCCAAAATTGTGAATGTGACATCCTTTACACATCGAGCTGGTAGGGATAATCATCATCATCCTTACTTATTGGTCTATACTGTTGTATGGTGATCCAACACTTTCAGCTTGATTTTATTCCATAACATGTCTCTACAACAGCACTTATCCAATACAAACTGATCAAGCTCTTTTATCTAGTTATTGATGTGCAGGTTGATGAGGGAACCGTATCTGGGAAGAGATTTCTGAGATCTGTAGAATATCCATATGCTCACATTTATGAGTATTCTAAATGTATACTGCAAATATTGCATTAAGTTATATAGATTACTTTGTGTCTCTATTGCTAACGAGCATTTAATTTTTGATGAAGTATGCTTAATTCTCTTCTCGAACGAGCTCCATCGACAGCTTTGCCTAATGGGAAAATCTAACCACATATTTGTCAAGTATGTAATGACTAATCTAACTTCTATTTCCCTTTTCTGTCTTGTTTCCAAGTGCTGTGTACTTTTATAGTATTTCTTTTTTCAATATGCTAGCAGTTAACTAATCAACGCATAACTGTCAACTTGTCTTTTGAATATGCTCATGTAATGCTTCTATTTCTTGCCTGGTCTATATGAATTCAGTCACAAGCTTCACGGAGACATTTGGAAAAACTTGCTTGAAATAATGGAAATGATTTATGACTTTCCTATAAGCTCTTTTTAGCCTATTTCAATAAGGAAATAAGCTCCATTGAGAAATTTATTTAAAAATTTTATTTTATTACTGAAATAAGTTTTACAATCAAATTTATGAATAAGGTCCCATTTGATAAAAACTTACCGAATTTAATGAAACTGTTTATCCAAATGTTCCATTGGTTTGCTATGTATCTTTTCTGCACAGCTCATCGGTTATTGTTTTTGGCAAAAACAATGACACAGTGGCTTATTTGCCAATTATGTGCCATGGATGAAATTCATGCATGTGTGTTTGACAAAGCTGTAATGGTGTTATTGTCACAAATATTTTGCTTCCAACCAGGATCTGTTCCTTGTCGTGAGGTTTCTCTCCCCCAGCAGCCTTCCTCCCCCAAGTTTCCAAACACCCCCTTCCCCGGCCCCCCTAAGAAAAGCCATGAGTTTTAAAGGTTCTATCTCCACCCCTGCTTTCAACTAAGCTATACCTGCATAATCATGCAATATGTTGGATTGGTAAAAAAGTTTAAATGTGACCAGCTACACTCATATAAATTCAATTGTGATCAGTTTCTGGGCTAGTGTTGTCTAACAACCATTCAAAGCTTTTTTATGGGTTGCTAGGTTAGAGGATCCAATCTTCTGGGTAGAAGAGAATGAACATGAATGAAAAATAAGACAAGGAATAAAAATTCACAAGAAAATAAAATGAAAAAGTGATGCAAAATGTATTAAATTTTTTGTATAAAGCTTTGTTCTCGTTTATCATGGATTCTACTTCACCTTTAACTTTCATTTTTTGTATTGTTGCACATTAGTCTTGCGGATCCTGGAGTTGTGCAGACAAACCTCATGCGAGAAGTTCCAGCAATCCTATCTTGGTTGGCATTCTTTGTGTTTAAACGTCTGCGGATGTTGCAATCTCCTGAGTGTGGGGCTGACTCTATTATTGATGCTGCCCTGGCTCCACCGGTAAGCACTTCAGTGGTACTTATTGTTGATTAAGTTTTCTTTACAGCATACCACCACTTCACTAATTCCCATACATATTCTTCCATCACCACGCAATTGATGCTTAATTGTTTTATGTTATGGCTTTATTCTATCCTTCTGTGATGGAAAGGCACTTGAACTCTGGCTAGGAAACAATATATTGGTCAATTATTTCAACCAACTTTTAACATATTTTAGAGGATCCAAATACACATTATAAAACACATACATAAACCGGTGCTTTCAGGTAAAAATAGGTTTCTCTCAATTATCTCTCAGATGGACGCTTTTGTATACATTGGAGGATGTAATTACACACACTAATAGCCACTTTGATTTAACTCAATTTTCATTTGAAGTAACTCTGCGATACTCTCTTATGAAATAAAACTTCTCTGAAATTAGGAAATTAGTATGTATGCTCACGAAATATATATAATTTCCCTTTTGTTACTCTTGTACTACTAACTCCTACTATCAACTTTAGTATGATCATAACATGATTAGGTGCTATCTGAGGTATAACAGGTTTGTCTCAGATATTAGTTAAATCAATCTATAAAATATATATATATAGATTGCCTTGTTAATTTCATTTAGTATAAATATTTAAATAGCAGTCTATCTTTTATATTCTTTATTTTATTATTAAAATTTATATTAGCATACTGGCTATAAAATTATTATTTAATTTAAATTTCTCACATTCCGTACCATTATCTGCACTTTGTACACGCATTAATCTTGAAATTTGTCATCAGTCAATTTGTCCTACGTATCAGGTTACCTTTATTTGCTGTCCATATCATTTTCAGTCCTGCTTCAGTTTCCCAATTTGCTGCCCTATGTTTCTGGCAGCCGCAAACTATTAACTAGTGAATATATGATGTTTATTGTATCGTAAATGACCAATCATCCTTAGGGTATCTCCTATACAAGTGAGGTCTAGTTTTACTTTAACTGAGTCCCACTATACCATATTATTTTTAAGATCTCTTGCAAGTTTTGCTCAAATGATGAGGTCTTACAAGACTCACATTTTTACAGTTTTTAGTTGCACTTCAATTTTTACAAATTTAAAAATTAATTTAACTATGATAAATTTCACATGACTATACTCCAGTTGGTGTTTCTTATAAGGTCTCTGTCTTAAATTTAAGATCCAGGTTAAGACCCTTGTATTGGAGATTTTTTTAATTTTGTTTATTGTCCTTATCTTAAGTAATTGTTGTCTACTAAATGGAGAAAAAAGCACCGAAATAATCATTTTTCCACCTCATTTATTCAATTGCTGGATACATTTCTTTTTTTTTTCGTTCATGAACATGGTCCACTACTGTCCCAAGGTTTTGTCTCTGGTTAATCTGGTTAATCTGGTTCGACCGAGAGGTAAGTAAAGTCTGGCAAAGTCTTTACCATCCTTTTGTTTCCTCCATTTTATCTTAATGAGTTCATTAGAAAATAAAATTGTAGGGAACCTATCTCCTGAAACCTTGCTTAATATTGACCTCCGCATTTATTAATTGATCCACCTGCACCTAGCCATTGAGTTCATGATGTTAAATGGCTTAAATTTTCAGGGAACATCAGGGGCTTACTTCTTTGGGGGCAAAGGTAGGACTATCAACCCTTCAGGACTTTCGCGTAACGCCAAATTAGCACGTGAGCTTTGGGAAAGTACAAGTAAGCTGCTATCTGTGACCCCTTTTGGTGCCGAGGGAAACAGCTGGTAGGATTGGTTCGCATGTCATGTCGTAACACAAAGTGAATAGATGGCAATTTCCCATGTAGATTGACAAATGACAACCCTTCCTTCATACCAAGTTATGAGGTTCATACTGTAAGAGATGTTTCAACAAAAGTACAATATAACCATTCATGCACCTTCGCCTAGTAGTTGCCAGCAATCATCATTTTTTTCAGCATTACCACCATACACTTGTCGCCTTGTAGCTTGTTCATATTTCATTTTCTGGTATTGTACTTAAATCATGTGCTAAGTCACTACGGTAATGCTAACGTCAAGTTTCTCATTATCTGATTGAATTTGAATATAACTGAAAATGTTTTTGGGGAAAAAACCTGAATGATCTTGTACTGTAGAGTTTACATAAAAAATGAGGTTTTGGATAAATCTGGTAATGGATTATTTGCAATCAGATATCTCTGTTTGGTGTACTCAAAATAGTGGGCACATTAGTATGTTTGGGGAAGGGTTTAAAATGCATTGATTCTTCAGATTTGACGTCTAAATTTTAGAATGATGCATAGATTACTGAAAGTAGCTTTCAATGCAGTTTTTGATAACAATATGACAGAAACAACCAAACAGTGCTCAGTTAATTGACTGGTTGTAGAAGATTTTTCAGATAGATTATTCACATTTGTTCAACCTTTGGATCGTACTAAATCAAATTATTACAATAAACTTTAGCTTGTTTTTTACGCAACAATACCCTTTAGCTATACCTTGTATTAAATTATTTTAATATCTATCATTCAAATATCTTTACAGTGCCATTGACTACATAATTCTTATCTTTCTATACTTTAATGTAACATTTAAAATGATTCATAAAGAATAAAGTAAATCTTTCACTTCCTCTTCCATATAAGATTTACATATTCAAGTAATTTAACAATCTTTCATGCTGCATATATTCTATAAGTATGAACTTGTGGGGAAACAGTGAGGGAAAATAAAGGGTACTTGTATGAATTGTGGATGCTACAAAACTGATTTGGCGTAGAATGAAAGCAGTTTAACCATATTGTGTCGGTGGCATGTTGGATCTGGGGATAACATCTGTTTTTGGCAAGATAAGTGGGTCTTTCAGATGGAAAGGAATATGCTACGAAGAAGGATTCTGAGTGATAAAGATTTGACCAAGAATTATTATCGAGTTTCGTCCATTTTTATATCTCTCAATCGTCGTTAGGTGGATGGAAATAGAAGGAGAAAAAGAGAGGGTGACATTTTAGGTACTATTCATAATTTATTCTCTGTTTTAGATTTAGTCCCTTTTCTTTATTATAATTGTTATTGCAATTATAGAACTCCAATGCGTTATCTTCTTTGAAAGAAAACTTTTTTCATAGAAAGATCAATCAGATGATAAAGTAAAATACAAGGTAAAAGATATTTTTTCTGTTACCAGTGTTGATTTCTTCGTATAGTGGTTGGTTAACTTGATTATTATTGATACTGGTGAAGTAGTTATGATCTGGAAATTTTCAGAATTTAGATTTTAGAAAAAACTTCTTAGACAGATAGATTGACCTGTTTATATATATATATATATATATATATATATATATATATATAAAGATTAATAATAAATTTTATAATAAAAAAATAAGGAAATTTAAAATTTTTAGACTGTTGGCCATATAATTTATGGGTGACCCACTCTCATTAATTTATATTTTCATGCCTAGTCATAAGTAAAAAAAAAAAATTCATTACTTTATTCAATATAAATGTCATAATTATATAACACAATAATATATTTAATAGGATTACAATAATTAAAATGAAGTGAGATAAAAAGGAAAATATAAGTTTAATGGATACACACAATTTTATAGTACTATTTAATTATAAATTCATATAAGTATAACTTTAAGATCATTACTACAAAAATGAATAAATTTAATATATATATATATATATATATATATATATATAAGTAAATAATAATTATGTTCATTATGAGTATGTAATTTACTATTTCCAAAATTATTTTTTAATTTATAGAACTTACAATTTATATTATATTTGATACATTCAAATTTAGCTTTATTTGAATGAATTTAGTTATTATATTTTTTATTAAATAATTAAAATATTTTTGAAGATTGAATTGTTATTTTTGAAACGCAAAGTGATTATATTTAATAGTTAATAACGTCATCGTTCAACAAATATTTGATGATTTTTTTTGAAAAATTTATTTTTTGTAATTTATTTCATTGTTTAATTATTTGAATTTAGTAGAAAATTTACCATTTTTTATCTAGTGACAAGACCATAACTGTTAGAACTGTTTATGTTTTGTGCGTCTGTCCATATTAAAATAATCACTTATTATTTTTTGAAATTCAAACTTAATAATAATAATGACACTGGATAGGTTCAGACTCATTAAAGTCTAACCTCAACTAGTTTGTTTTTACGAACTTAAACTCTTCTGATAAAATCTAAATTATATTTTTATAGGTGATGTGAATACGTTGGATTCATATTCATTTAGTGTACCTAATTAGAATTAGATAACGATTTTAAGAGTTTCAAATTCGATGAACCTAATCCAATTACTTAATTTATATCACGCTATAAAGAAAATACATTTTTACAACTTTTTTATTTTATTTTTAATTGATCTATTTTTCATTATTTGATAAAAATACAAATTAGTAATCGTAAATTCTCTCTAATTCAAAGTAATCTCTCAACTCAAAAATAATTTCAAAATCTTTTTATTTTATTTCTCCACACAAATTCTTACATCTTCTAGTTCTCTCTTTGGAACTATATTAGTGAATTGTACAACAAATTTATTATTATCATTATTATTTATCTCAATATAGTTGGATTAATTTACTAAATAAAAAAAATATAATTCAACCCAGTCCTTGTAATTTTTAAAGGGTTCAAACTACTCTACACTTTTATAATTTATAAATAAAATTCATGAAACTAAAATGATTGCTTTTTCATTTTTAACCTTTATTTTCTTAATCATAATTACTAACATCACCATCTATCCATAACCTACTTTTCTTCCTTTACTTTTTTTATTATTATTAACGTCATTTATTATTATTATTATTATTATTATTATTATTATTATTATTATTTTCTCTTTAGTCAACACTATTATTAGAACTATTACAATTAATGAATGTCATTACTCTTACTATAAATTCTTTGTTACTTTTATTCTTACGACAAACTTGTCTTATTATGACTTTTTGTTTAACCCAAAACATTATATTTAGATATGTAAAACAATAATTGAATATGAACTTAACTTAAAATTTTGCCTTTTACAAAATTCCAATATTGAAAAATAATGTAAAATCAATGTTAATTGTATTATATGAAATAGTTAAAACCTTATAAAAATACCAAATATGTTAGAAACTTAAATATGATGATCAATTATTGATTTAACTTAATGTTTGGAAGTTGGATTCTTCCTACTTTCTATTTCGGGTTTTGTCATGGTATTAAATAGTAGGAAGTATTAAATGTAAATGTCAAGTCCTACTACATCCATCCTATTGATAATCCTAGAATGTAAAATTGCACTTCTCTCATCTCCATTTCATGGTAACAAGAATTGCCACTCTTGATTTAGATATATAATGATGACTTTTGATAAAAGAAAACAAGGTGAACTTTATATTAAATAGAACCTTATCAAAATTAGCAATAAATAGTTGGTTTAATTTTTTGATTGAACCATAACTTTTTTAGACAATAAATGAGGTTTAGAATGATTTGAAAGTTAAACATTATTGAACTGATGTTTTGTAATTTTAAAACTTAAAAAAACGTTTTGACAATTATGCATCAAATACTTTTTTTTTTTTTTTTACAAAGCTCAGGAGGAAGATCATACATATTTCATACTTATTGTAAATTCTACTTATCTTACTAATTAATTCAACTTGATTTCCAACATTTAAATTTTTAAGAAGATTAAATGAGAAACAGTAATAATAATGGTGATGATCTTAGATATTAGAAATATTTTACTCATCTATTAAAAAAAGAAAGACAAATATACAAATAATTATAATAAATGTTTTGATATAATTGTTTTGTGATAAATGTTAAATGAGTTAACTTACAATCGAATTGTAATGTTTTTGTTATTACACTCTTGAGTATAAAGAATGATATATTTTATACTTATTGCAAGTTCTACTTATCTTACTAATTAATCCAACTTGATTTTCAACATTTAAATTTTTAAGAAGATTAAATGAGAAACATTGACAATAATGGTGATGATCTTAGATATTGAAAAATATTTTACTCATCTATTAAAAAAGAAAGATAAATATACCAATAATTTTAATAAATACTTTGATATAATTATTTTGTAACGAAGGTTGACCGAGTTAACTTACAATTCATAATGTTTGTATTATTACGCTCTTAAGCAGAAATAGTTATATTATGACTATTGACTATAACTTTTAGTCTAGTGTAAACACTCAATCCAACAATTGATATCAAAATTAAAATCTCGAGTTTAATTACTAAGGAGAAGATTATTGTAAGGTGCATCAATTATCTTCGGAGAAAGAATTGTAGATCAAATCATGATCGAATTATGTTGCTTGAACTAATACACTCTTGAATAGAAAAAATTACATATCTATAACTTTTTAATCTAGTAGTAAACACTCGATAAAAAAACATAAAAAAAAATCACATTATAATATATATATATATATATATATATATATATATAATACTATTTTTCATTTTAATTTTTTTAGTATTTATTAAAAATATCACTGTATCAATACTTCTTTTTAACTTTTTAAATATGAGAAATAAGAATTATAAATTAAATCAAGTAACTCATCCTCATTCAAATTCCAAGAAGCCAATAATATAAGGCAATATCTCACATTTCCTGGCTAAAGAGAATTAAATTCATTGTAAGAATATTGTGAAATGTTTAAATAATTCATACTTTAATGCTAAACACATATACTTTAGTAATAAAGTTTATTTAAAAAATATACTTTATATTCTAGAATTTTTTATTTAACCTCTTTTCTATTTCCTAAACTCCTTTCAACCTGACATACCTACTTTTTAACGCTAATAATAACTTGATTCAAGACATCTAAACCCAAAAGATGATTGGTGAGGGGAGATAAACAATTACCTTTACACACTGTCAAAATAATCAATATAACTTCTGCCATTAATGTCTTTTTCTTTTGAGAAACTTGTTTAATTGAATAAAGATTTTCTTTTATCTAAGTTATTAAACATGTGAATTCATGTTAGGTTTACTTTTAGACAAACATAAACAACTTTCCTTTTTCTAATAGTTATACTTTTTCTATTCATATTGTGATATTATTGATGAGAGTTAAGTTACTTGTGGCAGTGAAATAAAAAATAGAGTTGAAGTGCATTTTAAAATTTTTGCAACTTTAAAAATCTTATACGAAAAAATTGAAAAAAAATGTATTCATTAATTTTTATATACAACAGAGATTAATTACATCCAATTTTTGGATAACATACAAAGTTTCATTAACATAATTGTTTATAGATAACAATTTTTTCAACCACTATTTTCTTATCAAAAGTATTATTTCAATTGCTTCTCTAATCAATACATGAAATGTTATTTTTCTTCAAACTCCTTGTACACTGTAAGAAAAAAAAAGAGTTAGACTTTTTCAATATTTAAATAGACAAATAAATATATTTTGTCACAAATTAAGTTTTCTAATTTCTAAAAAATGAAAGTTCTAAGATATTAGAAAATAAGATGAAAAATATTTATTTTTAATATGATTAAAGGGGTGCTTCTATATAATTTTTTTTCAAGTATTTGTAGACTTCTTGTAAATTATAGTGGTTGGAGAGACATTAAAGATATTTCATGCAACTTTTCAACAGCTTCATGTTATTAGATATATAAACCGATATAGTTATCGTATTGAACTTGGAAGCAAAACTTCACTTTTATAGGTACTTCAATTAAAATGTTGTCTTTAGAATAAATTCATCATTTTTCTTAACTTGTTAGATAATATAATGTAATTAAAAAATATCAGTTATATTTGACATTCACGATATCATAAATATATTAAAAAATAGATGAAGGTATCATTTCTCCCATATCAATGAATCATTGTTTGATAAAAAAAACAAAAAATTCTTCTAAGACCTTAAATATATTTTATTGTTTATAACATAAAAAAGAAAAAAAAAGTAAATTTATCACTAAATTTGGAAATCTCACCTTAAAATTTAATTATAATATCAGAATACATTATATGGATTAACATTCCACACCAACACACTTTTAGTATTACTAATATTAAGTTGTTCCAAGTAACATTGTTGCTTGAAACATGTATTTGATCGTTAGGGTATATTATTAAATTATTGTCGTCAAAGTTTCTATCACAAAAATATTATTTAGTTTCAAAATTCTACCGTCACTATACTTTATATTTAAGCTTAATTTTTTTTTTTATAGTTTATGTTTTGTTTATACATTAAAAGATAAAAAAAACTTGACATTAGACAAAAAAAATGTATTTTAGGAATTAAAGATGAATTCAAAGTTTATACTTTACTTAAGAGATATTATAATATTTGAAATTATATTCTCATCTCATTATGAAAATTTATAAAATTGTCTAGCAACTTAATCAACAATTTTATAATTTCCATGATGAATATATCTCATAGTTCACCTACATAAATAAATAAATGAAGAAATCTCAAATAATGCCTTGATATGCACATTTTTGTATTTTTTTTTCATTATTTATTTTAACAAACTTGTTCCCATATTGTGATTAATAGTATCTTTCATACATATAGAAAATAATTGATTTCATATGTGTTTAAGACAAAATTCAAACTAATTTGCCTCATCTTTTAGTCTCTTATAAAGACCAAGTAGGTTATATAAAGTAGTACTAATAGAAAATAATGAAAAACAATTTAAATATTAAACTTTTTTTCACTAACTTATGATCAATTATTATATTCAATAATTTTAAATTATAGTTAATCCATGATTAGATAATAATGTATTAATATATTCTAATTAAATTCTATGGTTGAATTTTAACATTTTTTGTTACTAAATAAGTAAATCCCATCCAAATGCTTTAATACTTCATTCATACCAATCACACACCAAAAAAAACACTAAATAATCAGAAAAAGAATAATCTATTGATAATCTTAAGTCCAATTCCTAAGGGCACACGAGTTACAAGCTAACCCTGGTTAAGTTATGTGGGTCCCAGTCCATTATAAAAAAGTGTATATTGATCAAGAATAAAAGGAGAAAAAAAAACAAAAAACAAAACAACAACAGTATTAACCAGCTCAACACGGGGGTTCCATTTTCTGAGTAGTAAATTGGGAGAAATTAGATTCTTCACAGTTGTTGAGGGCTTTGACAGATGGGTCATTGTACATGGTGACGGTCTTCTCAGATTCAAATTCCTCAAACGTCACACCCTCTCCTCTCATCTACAATCAGGTAATTTCACTCCCTCCTCACTCCTCATCTTCCTCACTGCACCAACGCCTCACCGCTCTTTTCTCCGCTTTTCAATTCCCCTAGATTCTTCATGCCCGAGCTTCCAGCTAGGGTTTCCAACTCCAATCAATTTGGACCGTTGCCTCCTCTTTTCAAATGCGCTGCTCCTGTAGATCCGTGGCGGGATTCGCTTCACTTTGAAATTAGTTTCCCAAAATTATAAATAAAGGTTGGTGTCCGAACATTTCGCCCTGTCTTGCTTTAGCTCCTCCTTTCAGTTGTTACGTTTTTGTTAGCTTTTGCTCTCAATTTCGCGAATTCTGTCGAGTTGCGTGAGTTTCGCTTTTTAATTCCATTGCTCGGGGGCTTTAGGATGGAGTTGATGGTTCAAATTTATTACCCGGAGTCATAAATTTGACTTGTGATCGGTTCGTTCTGGGTACTGAAGTCATGAGACACGGTATTGAGTGTGCTAAGTCTGTATTCAAAGGGGGGAAAACGAAAAAGGTAAATGTTAGTTATTCGTTATGTTGAGTTGAGTTTGCAAATTAATGACTGAGCAGTGAAAGGGATTGACCTTCTTCTTGTGGGTGCGATGGGACTGGAACTGGAAATGGGGTGCTAGTTGCATTTTTGGTTGGGTTAACTAGTAATATTTTATATGATTTGTGGCAGTTTGTACTTCGTTTTCGTGTAGATCTGTCCTCACCTTCCTTTTTGGTAACTGCAAAACCTATTTAGGATATTATAAACTAAGAACTGCTTAGGTGTATGTTAAACTCAGTCTAACTTAGTGTCAGTGAACAACTTAGGATGAAGGATTATGTATGTGTTTGAGTTGGACATTTTTGTATGTGGGTTGTCAAAAGTCTTATCACAGTAGGTAAAGTCATCTACATTAACCACATGACACCATTGGGCTCAATTGAAGACCTAATCCTCAGAAATGTTATTCAACATGAGGGCTTCTTTTAAATCGTATCATTTACTGTCCTCCTGTGTAGTGATCTCAGCATGTGGCCAACCTACCTTAACCAACTTTCTATCATATTTTCCTCAGTTGGTGCCACACCAATGTCGTTTTGTATATGATCATTTCGCATCCCATCCATTCTTGTGTGGTCACACACCCATCTAAACATTCTCATTTTTTGTTATTCTCATGTCTTTCTTTTTGTTTTTGTAAGGCACAACAGGCACTTAAAGAGTATAATTGATTTTTTTTAAGTACAAACTTACCTTTGAACTTAGTAAACATTTTGTGATCACAAACAATATCCATCTTAATATTCTCATTTCTGTTATTCTCACATCCAGCTTGTATGATGCTAAACATTTCATTCATTGTTTCTCTTTTCACTTTTCTGACAAAAACTACAGAACTCTTGTAAATGCAAAACATAGTTATAGATGTTTTGGCTTTCGGAATAACTGTAAGATTGGAAAGCAATCTATTAGGTTGTAGGAAACTTAGCCATCAGCCTTATCCTAGATGTTACTGAAAGACACTCTATAACTTACAGTGCCTACCAAGATTATATCTGCAATATATATCAGAAGAATATATTGACTTACTCGCACCTTATCATGCTGCTCTCAAGGGAGCTTCTTGAAAAGCAACATTTTATAAACAATTAAACATTTATCCATGCTAATACATTCCTTTTTCTGCTATGCAAAAAAGTTATTTGATGACTTAATCAGATTTTGTAAATATATCAGTCAGTTCTATATAAGATTTTTTATATGCTGGCTTAATGTTGTAAGTGAGGACAAGACAATTATCCAGTCTAATTATACACAAGTCCCAACCAAAATTGTCTAGGATTGCCTGATAATAAACAATGCAAGAGATGTGTCTTATCATTCTTCTTTATTTGAATTTATGTTGACTTCCTAAATAATCTTACAATGTTTCCCTAGACATTAATGACACTTATCTCACATTGACACACAGATAATGTATGTTGTTCCATACATTATCTGTTTATGATAGAGGTTTCTATGATAGTGCAATGCAACTGATCCCACATCTAATTATTGAAAATGAAAATCCTTTATAAAGTGCTCACGCAATCTCATAAACTTCAGCCTTTATTTAATAGTTTTGAATATCTATATTTCATCCGTACTTTGAAAAGTTGGTTTAATTATAATTGTTGCCCCACACACCAAAGTTTTAAGAAATTTAGTGAGCGTATTTCAATTTCTCTCTCCATTGGTTCAGGTGCATGGTGGAGGGGCTTCCTCTAGCAAAGGAGGCCAGATATAAAATCCAGTAGTCGTGGTTAATTTATCTGGTTTTTAACTAGCGGAGCTTACCAATAATTAAGGCTACTGGATAATGATGGAGTGCAACAAGGATGAGGCAATTAGGGCCAAAGAAATTGCAGAGCGGAAATTTTCAGAGAGGGAATATGTTGGTGCGAAGAAGTTTGCTCTCAAGGCTCAAAATCTATACCCTGATTTGGAGGATATTACCCAGCTTTTGACAACAATTGATATCTATATATCTGCTGAGAATAAAGTAAGCGGAGAAATGGATTGGTATGGTATACTTGGAGTGAGCCCCTTTGCTGATGAGGAGACTGTCAGGAAGCAATACAGGAAGCTGGCTCTCACCCTTCACCCTGACAAAAACAAGTCTTTGGGTGCAGAGGGTGCATTTAAGCTGGTTTCAGAGGCATGGAGTTTGTTATCAGATAAGACCAAGAGACTAGAATATAACCAGAAGAGAAGTTTGAAAGGATTCCAACATAATTCTTCCAATCATGTTGGATCTAAATCAGATGCACCCAATTCAAATGGTTTCTATAATTTAAAGAAGAATGTAACGGCAAATGTCAGGACTGGAAATAATAATGGTCGAGCACCTTCAACTGCAGTTCCTCCTCCACATAAAAAGGCTGATACCTTTTGGACTATCTGTAATCGGTGCAGGACACATTATGAATATCTCAGGATTTATTTGAATCACACCCTTTTATGTCCAAACTGTAATGAAGCTTTTGTTGCTGTAGAGAGGGGTCCACCACCAAATGTTTTTAAGCCACCAAATTGGTCTTCTCATCAACGACATCAAAATTCTCAACACCATACTGGAAGTAATAATACAAACATTCAGTGGGGTTCTCACAATAGAATGGCTGGTTTTGGTAGCACAGACGGATCAACATCTGTTGCAGCACAAGCTGCAAGTGTTGTGCAGCAGGCAAGTGAGAAAGTAAGGAGAGAGGGTTCTTTTCACAAAGCTGAAAAACCTATGAAAAAAAGGAGGACTGATGATATTCGCGTTAATGGTTATCAAGGATACATGGCGAATCATATGACTGGGGGACATGGAGCAGCTGGTTTGGGCAGCATTTCTGAATCAGGAAAGGCTAACATGGAAACAGAAAGGAGTTATGGTTTTTCAGGTCTGCCTAGCAAGCATTACAGCACAAGAGAATTGTCAATGTTTGAAATACGAAACATGTTGATGGACAAGTCTCGCAATGAAATTAGGAAGAAACTTCAAGAATGGAAATCACTGGCCGAAGTTAAGATTAACAAGGATAAAGAGAATAAGAGACAGAAAAGTGCATATAATGGCAAAACAACTGGTACAGAAAAGCTGAGAGAGCCTGTTGTTAATGGTAATAGGCATCCAAACATTGATTCTTTTCCTGTTAGATCTGATGATACAGTTCAGAAGAACCAAGCTTATGTCACCATCAATGTTCCAGACCCAGATTTTCATAACTTCGACTTGGACAGAGATGAAAATTCCTTTGCAGAGGACCAGGTGTGGGCTGCTTATGATGATGATGATGGAATGCCTCGATATTATGCTAGAATTCACAAGGTGATCTCCATAAAGCCATTTAAAATGCGGATCAGTTGGCTTAATTCTCGAAGCAACAGTGAATTGGGCCCAATAGATTGGGTAGGCTCTGGTTTTTATAAGACTTGTGGGGATTTCAGAACTGGAAAGCATGAAATATCTGAATCATTAAATTCATTCTCTCACAAGGTTAGGTGGACAAAAGGCATGAGAGGTGTTGTTCGTATCTTTCCTGGAAAGGGGGAAGTCTGGGCTCTTTACAGAAACTGGTCTGCTGATTGGAATGAACATACCCCAGATGAAGTGATACATAAGTATGATATGGTGGAGGTGCTTGAAGATTTCAATGAAGAACAGGGCGTATTAGTTACGCCCCTTGTTAAGGTTGCTGGTTTTAGGACTGTGTTTCAAAGGCATACAGATCGTGATCAGGAGAGAAGGATTCTTAAAGAGGAAATGTTTCGATTCTCTCATCAGGTTCCTAATTACTTGCTGACTGGTCAAGAAGCTCAGAATGCTCCAAAGGGTTGTCGAGAGTTGGATCCAGCCGCTACTCCCTTAGACCTCCTTCAGATAACGACAGAAGCTAACGAGACATCGGATAATGCTTAGGATGTCTGAGGAAGAAACGAGGCCCGGTTCACCTGCTGTGAAATGGGAGAGAGAATGCTTAAAATTCTTGTAGAGCAGAAATGTTAAACGAGGGTAGTAAACAGGAAAAAAGAAAAAGAAAAAAGGATGATAGATGACAGTGCAAAGGATAGAAATGTTGGCGTAACTGATGATGCAATAGGCTTGAGAAATGAAAATGAAGATTGATGAAAATACAGTCTTTCAAGATTCTTTCATTTTGTAAGGCTGACACATATTCTATAGTACCCTTTTGGTGTTATATATGGATCGAAGGGATCCACAGCTTTTCGGTTTTTGTTGTATAATTTCCAGGCATGTTATATTCGTATAGTCATGGCAGTTATCATTCATCGTTCTGCAAGCAAGATGAATTAGACTATAGTTTCAATGTCGTCCTATGCCTGGTGCTTTACTCTTCCAGTTTATGGACGTGCATATTCCTGTCTTGTGTTATAAACTCATGAGTTTTAATTACATCTGATTCATTTCCTAATTGTAGTGTCATATCATACCCAATACAAGAGTGCTGTAGTTGTTATTTGTTTAAAGCTGCATTGTTCTTTATTATTATTATTTTTTTTAAATTGTAATTCTCTCCTTACAATTAGAACCATATACCCCTGTTCTAACTGATCTCCAGGGAACTGTTTTATTTCTAATGGGTTATGTTTTTTGAGCTTTGATTTTATTTGTGGGCTTGTAGGAAAAATTATAATCTTTTACGCACGAGTCATTTATTTTCTAAAATGTCAATACTTCAATTTATACAGTCACATTAAAATGTATTTTGTAGCAACATTTTATTTTTTCTTTCTCCAACCTAGCACAATTAAATCTCCTTTTTTGTCTGGAGTATTAAAATTAGACCGTGAAAGGAAATTTGTCAACATTGGGTTTGATCCATGGGCTTGGTTCCCATCATAAATTATTGATATTGATCTTTCATTTACAACTAACGTATTTATTTTTCGTCAACGTTGTACTCCATATTAAGATGTATAAGTCATTTGAACAATCAATTTTGACTTATTTTAAGTTTGTACTTGATTTGATTTAATTTTGTTTTATTTGATATTGATATTTTAGTAGGCTTTTGTATTCAAGAGTTTTGTTTAACTTTAATTAACAAAATCACTTCCAATAAAGAGGTTCTTTTAGCAAATTTAACGTGGATCATAATATATTTTGCACCTTCAATAATGTTTGACCCGTTTTTTTTTTTTTTTACTTTTATAATTTTTTTAAACTATATGATAATAATATTTTGGTCATATAAAATATTAATAAAAAATTTAAATTAATACCGTATAACTAACTCGTGTCAAATCTTACAAATATACAATTGTAGGAATGTATCCATTGATATTGATACTGGAGATCTTAGATTTGATGAAATCAAAGGGTTTATAGGATAAAGAATATAGTATTTAGTAAGTCTACATTAATATTAAATAAGTATATTCATCTATCCATTTTTACAACATGAGGTTCTATAATTTGAAAGGAATAAAAATGTTTCTAATAATTTTAATATGTTAAAAATCGTTTTATTTGGTTAATATGTTCTTAAGTATCAGATTTAATTGATATATTTATAGATAAATCGATTAAAATCAGCTAAAAACACTTTTGATACTTTTTTAACAGATGTATTTTAAAAATAATCGATTAAAATCACTTAAACTAAGTGTAAGCATGTTTTATTGCAGTTTTAATCGATAAATATTCAAATTAATCAATTAAAAACACTTAAGAAGTTTTAGAAAATGTTTTGTTAGTATTTTAATCGATTAAACTTCGAATTAATCGATTAAAGTCACTTAAGGATTTTTTAGTAACTATTTTAATCGATTAAAGCTGTGTTTTTATCAATTAAAATATTCCTGGAAAGTATTGTAGAACATTTTAATTGATTAAATGATATTTTCATCAGTTAAACCTATTAGAATCAAGATTTTTTTAATCGATTAAAAGATGAATTAATCGATTAATTAAACCAGTTTGTTAAAAAAAATCTCTATATAAACATATTTGCTTCAACGTTTTAAAAATGCATCTTTTAGAAATCATTCAAGCAATCAATAGAGATATTTTTAAGAGAGAAGTGAGCTATTTTCATTGGAAATTTTCGAAGTGCTTTCTTGAAGCTTTTTTGTGTTCTTACTTGTGAAGAAACTCATTCGAGTGGGATTTACGCCTCTACATAATCGGGTTTGATTGTTCTAGTTTCTTTATTCTTTCAATTCTATTTTGTATTGTCTTGGTGTCTGGAAGATTGAGCATTGGTTCTACAACTGAAAATTGGTTGCATGTTGGGTTCAAGAATTGAAATTTGGTTCTTAGTGCAGGTTGAATTTTCTGTAATTTAATTATGTAAATCAAACTATTCAATCTAGTGAACCTCAACTGGAATTTGGTTGAGAACTGGATGTAACCTAGTAGTTTGGGTGAATGAGTATAATTCTTGGTATTTTTTTCCTCTTCCATCACTTTCTTTAATTCACCTTGAATCCTGTTCAATTACGTTTGCTTTTCTTGTTGGAAAATTAATAATAATAATAATAATAATAATCCCGATTTTGATTCTAACGATCAAACATAAACATAATCCCATACTCGATAAACATGCTGTAAAGCTGAATGCAAAAGCGTACCTGAATTAGCCATAACGATGATGTCTTTGTAGAGCACTATATTGATCTTATGGTCTTCCACTCGAATAGCACTCGTATTTCCCTCTTGATTTTCTCTCTTGATGGGGATAGAAAGAAAGGAACGGGACCGATACTTACGTTCATGTGTGTGCTCTCGAAGGGGACCATGACCCTTTAGATAACCAGAATTAGGTTAATTACTTAAGTTTTAGTATTTCTAATTTGGCCCCTCATCAAATTAGAAATTGCTCTATGGTCTCTACACAATTTTATTTTCATGACATATGCTTTTAGCCAAAACTTTAATTTAGTCAGATCACTTTATTATTTGGCTTAATAAATAATGGCCCTAACACATTTAAATTATGTATCATATATATACATGACCCAAATTTTTCCAACATTTCTTAGTTTAATACTTAATCAGATCTCTTAATCTTTGAAATGGTTAATCTGTATATGTAAGTTGCAAAAAAATTTGTAAAAGACCAATTCACCTCCTCTTGATCCTAGCCCATAATTCTAACATCCATTACCACACATCATTTTCTCTAAAAATAAAGAATAATGGTAAATATGGGGGATGATGAAAGAGTGAAATTTTTTTTGAGTAAAATTTAAATAACTAAAATTTCTAAAATTAAAATAAAGTGTTTTTAATTAAAGGTGCACAATAAAAAATTTCTTTAAAATAAAATAGTGCAGTAATTAAATTTAAAATTTTTGGAAGTGATAATTCCTAAAACTAAATTGAGAAAAAGATGAATTAAAAACAAAAATTAAACAATACTATAATAAAATAAAAATTTTAAACAATTAAAGAACAAAAATAAAAATAAAAAATTGAATGAATATAATAAATAGAATAATATAAATTAGAAAATTCAATAAAAATTGTAAATTTAATAACTAGAATACAGTAGCAATAGATAAACTCGCATAACTAAAAACTGAGAGAAAAGAAAACGAACATGAGACAAAACAGCAATTCGCTCTGGAGCAAGAGATTATGATTGTGTTCTCATCAAATCTCTATTTATAGGAGACTGAATAAGAGAAATTAAGTCTAAAATTAATTATAATAAAATTAATGGTTTCTTAAATTAAAATTTGTAAAACTGGATTGTTGGGATGAGAAATTTCTATGATCGATTTATAGGAAATAATTCATTTCTTTCTTATTTTATGTGCTCCAGAGACTGATTTACATTTATTTAATTCTTGATTAGCTTTCAAAAAAAGTGAAATTTGGTTGCATCAATTTATGTATTTATTTTCATCATTGCCTCATCTCAAATTATATTTCTCCTAAAAAAAGTTATTGAAGTGTGCATATATATTATTACTTTTTACACTAAAAATATGCAAAATGCAATAAATTAAAAAAATTGAATTATATTATGTTTTTAATAAAAATATGTTAAATGTATGGTTTATAAAGAAAATAATTAGCTTAGAAAATACTTATAAAAAAAATAAAGAGTAAAATAATATACATCAACATATTTTATTCACTTTAAAATTGATATTTGAAGATATATTTTTATATTCTAGAATTTCTATTTTAAAAGATAACGAAGTGAAAGAAAAAAAAAAGACACCCTAAGGTTTATTTATATAAGAATATAATGGATTAAAGAAAAACATCTAAAATAAAAAAGTATGAAAATTCATAAAGATATATACCGGTGTGGTGGTAGCACTGTGACAATGCACTTCGTAGTGAATGGTGACTCCAGTATTGGGTCGTTTATCCCAACCACCATCTAATCCTTCCCAACGTTTTCAAGTTACACATCCAAAGGCTTTAGCACCCCAAAACATCACATTTCCAACAAAAAACGAAACAAAATACATAAGTTCTACAAAACAGAATGGATGGAAATTATAAAACTAAGCAAGAAACAAAGAAGAATGTATATTATTAATAAAAATGGTAATATGTTAGAGATTTCAAATTAATTGTAAACCTATATATAGACATTCTAATTTATAAATTTGAATGGTTATTTTTTTTCTTCTATTTTTAACCTATCTATCTTCTATGTAAATTTCACTATCTTTATATTTTTCTTTTATACAATACTTCGGATATTGGATTTTTGGACCATTAATAAACACAATGAGGATGAGTGCAATTTTTAACAATTGTAATGCAAACATGTTTTTATTATTTTAGTTAACACCTCTCAAAATCATCATGAAAATTATCATCTCAACTTTCATGTTCTTCCTACATTTGTCCAACACGTTCCTCATTTAGCTAACACACCCATCACTCAATCTTGAAAATTTTCAAGATCGAATCTTTTCTTCTATGCAAAC